GCACAAGTCTTTTTTTTCCCACTTGCTGTAAAGATTAAACTTTTCTTCCTTCCACTCCCATCTTTTGCATGATAAAGATAGTAGCTACAACAACTTTGATACACAAGTTTAGAGAGTTATACTAAAAAATGCCAAAAAATGTCTATCAAGGTTTTGAGATTAGTCAATCGATCACGTGATTTTCAAGCAAAAATGATTCTTGTGACGATCTCAAATCAATCAAACTCTAAGACAACAATGAGCTCAGATACTTACAATATCGTCATAAAATTTCTTCTTTCCACGCATTGTTGAACAATAATGCCAGATCGTGGCAATAGCTAAAATAGAGAATGGATGAGAATCCAGTCATAAGAGTACTCTGGATCAAATTCTACGGAGTGTTAATCTATCATCTATTACTAGTCAATGTGCGAAGACATGACTAAGCAATTTAGTATAGAAGGCATTGCATTTCAAAATACTTCCTCACGCGTGATTTCTCTCCTCGCCTTATCTTCGTTTGCAATCCGTCAAGATTTTTTTCATTGCTATTTTTTTCCAAGTTTTCACGTGCACAAACAAAACAGAATAAAAGCAACAGTGAACAAGAATCAATCAGTTTGTGCACTAGCCCTTGCTCATTGCTTCTTTTGTGCTTAGTCACATTCACTTTTGCATGGAAAAACAGTTAAATGCATTCAGTGATCTCCTCGTCAATATTCAAAATAGATTTTTAAAAAATTACTTTGGATTTTAAAACTATGTTGGTAGCAATATTCAATTTGCCACAATAATGAACGTGATCAATAGTAAAGTCAAAAGCTGTCTTGTCACAAACTTTGAAATCAACTCACCCAAAACAATCACAAGTAGCATTGACACACTGTAGTATATCAAATAAAATTTCATTATGCACGCTAAAGCTAACTTCTTATATCAATTAATACACAAAAACACAAGAAATATATGAAGAATGCAGATTATTGAAGAAAGTACACAAATTTCATGTTGACATCAACAAATACATAGTTCGTTTTTTATTACATTCACAAAAACATAACAATCAATTGTCGGACAGAGACAATGTTTTGGATAAATTACTGTATTAGTATTAATCCTCGTGTTGATTTATTTTACACCTCTATAAACAAATTATACATTTTTTTGGATCAAAATCTATAAATCACATTCTTTTAATATCAAGAGTATAAAACATTTATAAAAATTTGGAATATTAATATAATATGGGAATTCATATTTTTTGATAAAATAAATTTATTTTCATAATTTTTATAATTTTCATTATTAAAAATTATAACAATAATACTTTTAAAACAAAAAATAATAAAAAACTAAAAAAATATGATGCTTAAGATGAAGTTTGATTATTGGAGCAAATCACAATATATGAGTGAGTGAAGCAAGAAGAGTAGAATTGGATGCAATTGTGTGAACATACGTTATGGCTGGAGTTTAGCATGTGCTAGAAGCTTTATGATCAAATATTGAGTAAGAAGAGCAAAAGATGGGACCTGAATGAAAAAAAAATGAATGAAGTTGGCAATTCAATATTAGAGCAATTTGAATTATGAGCAACATTATATTGAAGTTCTTTGTGCTCATTCTGAGATTGTTGAATATTTTGTATCAAAACTAAATTTTCTATACTGTTGCAAGATGGAAAATATATTCATCCACTTCTTTTATCTTTGTGAGAACTGTTTTTTTTTTAAATAATGCACATAGTAAAGAAAATTTCCAAATTTCATTCATTGTTTTCTTCTAATGAACAAAAAAATGATTTGTTGTTATATTCATCTAAAATCTGGTGCAGATAAACAATTTTCATAATAGACATCTAGTTTGAACTAGCTTTATTTTCTTCAGATGTGCTACATTGTGAGCTATATCATCAAAAAGAAAAAACTTCCTCCTTCACAATTTATTTTCTAATATTAACATCTAATATTTTGTCATTTGAATATACTTATGATCCTCATACAATGAGAGCATATTTTTTACACTAGTATCAATAATTTTCATGGAAGTCTTAGTGATAAATTGTGAAAAATCGCTTATTGGTATGGCTAATTTTACTACCATGATGTACATAATTCAGAATAAAATTTAATTCATGTTACATTGTTTAATTTTCATTCACTTCATGCTTTTGTAAGGGTACACAATCTCACACAAATTTAACAGCAAACGCTTGTACTCCTTTATACTATAATTTTAACTATCATACATAAAATTTGCGTTTATTTTTATTCTTGTTTTTTATCCAATTTCAATTTTTTACAATTTTTTTCCCACAAATGCAATATCTAATTTGCTTATAACATCATGTTAAGCTTTTGGGTATATATGTTAAATATATTAATGATTTGATTCTAACACTAGGTATTAAAAAAGTAGTACTCTCAAAAATGAAACACAATAATGAAGATGCGAGATGCATAAAATGATTTTTTTCTCATATATATATATATATATATATATATATATATATTAACAACAAGTGCAATGAGATAAATTTGATCAATTACTTATTCTACTTTTAATGGATTGATGATATGGTAGATAATCATAACAAGCATACGTAATGTTCACATATTGTATTCATTTAAAACATTCAAATCTTAGCTAACAAGTGTATGCAATGTTGACATGTTGCTATAAGTTAAAAAAATCAATTTTTAATTAATAAGTATATAGATTATTGATGTGTTGTTGTCAATTCAAACATTAATTTTTTTTACTTATCAAGCACATGGATTATGAACTCAACAACTCAAAGATAATCAATTATAGTATAATTATATTTTCGTCTTGACTAATTTTTATTTTAGTTTTAACTAAATAAAAATGGTTATATTGATTGATGATAAACCATAAAGATGATATTCTGCAATATATGGATTGTTAATAATGTGTAATCGATCATAGTTGTTACATTAGAAATGTTTTTAATACAATCTTCAAATATTTAATATTAATGAAAAATGTTTAATCTTGTATTATAAAAAATATTGAATATAATCAAATTTAAATTTTTAATGAAGTCAAATATATTTTGATTCATGTTAATCATATATATTATTGTCAGAGTTAAAACCAAGAATCATGAACAGTGAGGAAGTATAGTGAACACAACCGCTAACACGCGAAACACATCGTATAAAGTGATTTATCTTTCGGATAACTGCGTTCACGGGCAAAATACACACGAGTAAGTTTAGTTCAGTATGTCAAAAGCAGTGCGGAAACTTTGAGTTATATACATGCTATATATTTCGACAACCCATCTAGCTATAAACAATTAGAACATGAGGTTAATTTTTTATCCGAGTTGATCTCAACAATTAAATAAAAAAATAATTATTGTTTTTGAAATTAGAAGGTAAGGTAACATGTGAGGTAAAAATAGACCAGTAAATTATTATAATAATTTAGAAGTATAAAAATGTAGAGTTGATTTAAGATGAAATTAATTTTACTGGATTTTGATTTGAAGTGATTAATACGTAGGTTATAAAATGAAATAACTGAGTAATAAATTCTTGACACTTCTTGATGATCAAAACATGAGTTTGTTACAGATAGAGTTTTGTGAGCGTTATAATTAAAAAACTTTGATTGAATTGTTAAGAGAAGGAAAACACTGTTAACTCCTATGTCAAAATTAATACTGGAACAAAAATCTACAGAATGGGCACAAATCTGGATGCTCTATTACCAAGAACGCTGAACTGAAACACTTTAATCTCTCGCTTTCAAGAATATGGAGTAGAATGAAGCGAATTGACCCATGTATCTCCGTGAGCAATGCAAAGAGAGAGCTCAGGACAGACATACTTCAAGCATCAGGATAGAGAACAAAATAAGCTTATTTTGCAGTGGAAATAGTGTAGCTTCATCTTGCACATGATTGTATGCCGACAACTGGTTAATAACCGAGACAAGCTGACAACTAGCAAGACGATAGGTAACATTGATTTCTACGCTCCTTGGAGTTAAGTACTAAAAATTCTGAAACGCCAGTTTATATATCACTATCAGACACATTTATCCAGCTTTCTTGCCGCCCCTTCATGGAGGAATAGACTTCGCACAAGTTTCTGCTCATGATCCCAGGCGCACTAGGTTCTACGACGAGATTAAAAACCCTCCACCCAGATGACCACGATACAGAGAGTGGTGATAACGCTCACTCTGATCCAACTAGGTGCTGATACGACTTTCGGAGCTTTGATCCGTTTAGATTATTTCTTGTTGTCTTGTTTTCTATCTTACCTCGAAATAATAGCATCAAATTGCTAGAGTAGGACACCACCCCACCGTCTACTTGCCCTTGAAAAAAACGCCTTACTTTTTGGAAACGGGCGTATTTCGATTCAAGACTATGAGTGTTCAAGATTGAGACACATCCTACAGACCAAGCACTTGAGTCCTTTTCACTACTGTAGCTAAATCCATCACATCTACTCGGAAACATATTGGGAAAAATGTTCATACTACGAAGCTTGTCTTTGATGTCCGTGCCAAAGCATCTGATTCCTGAATGCGAGAAGAATCACATCGGTTGAACCCACTCGATAAAAAAATTGGTTACTTTACCCTGGTTGAAGACATCATGTTACACAGGCATGTGTCCTGATATATATACCTGACGTCCAAGACGAGCGTACCGTGTAGAACAATTCTTCGTCGAAAGACAAGCAGCTCGTGTTTTCCCGAAAATCATAGACTTCCACATGGCCAGTCGGACACACAGTGAGTCCTCTGTGGTTTCGGTATCGTTAGCTACTTTCAGTGTAATGTACAATCAGGACAGGTCGCCGATCAATTTCCAATCTATGCTGTTAGTGTTCTTTGTGTCAATATATGAGTAATGAATATCAATACATAATGATGCTATATGAAGGCAGATAGCAGCAGCAAGAAGGATTTGGACCAGTGCGACTGTAAGACTGTAAGACCGATACAAACAACCCAGCTGAAGAGTAATGTGCAGTGGCTGACCATTAGAATATAATAAACACATAAGAGGTTGAGTGAGAAATGTATGCAGATTTTATACGCATCTGGTGTGCGCCTTACAACCACTCAATTTCAATTTTACGAGACTGGAGCCTCTCCAAACACTCTTCAGGCATCCAAGGTCTCAATCCTCGATCAAGACACAAGTAATGTAAAGCTAAACATGAGCTTGCAGTTGCGTCGACATCATCACTATGGATATTGCTACAGGAAGAAAGAGTAAGGGCTCGAAGTTTCTTGTGTCCAGCGAACGCACGAAGACCTGTTCCTGTGACTAGCTCACAGCCACTTAAGTTCAGTTCCTCCATATCTACGCAGTGATGAGCAATTGTAATTATCGACACATCAGATACATTGATGAGCCAGGCCAAGTTCAAGCTTTGAAGAGTTGTGACACCAGCAATACCTGTACCACCAACATCAGTGACGTTCGGTCCACACTCAGCCAAATTGAGAACTTGTAGAGCGCTAAGCTGCTGCAACAAAACAGCTCCAGAATCCGTCAGTTGATCACACTCACAGAGATCCAGACGCTTGATGCGTTTATTTGTAGCGCCGTTAGCAAGATAGGAGAGACCCCAGTCGGTAATTAGGTTACAGTTCCGCAAAATTAGAACCTCCAGACATTCGAGGTGACTTACTGCCTCAAGTGACCGATCAGTTATCCTCTTACAGTGCCCCAGGTCAAGATACACCAGCAAGGAACATGATCGAGCTAGTGCCGACACAGCTATATCTCCAATACCTTGTCTCCATCTTAAAGACACATGCTGCAAATCCTTACAATTATTCGCAATTGCCACAACTCCGTCGTCTCCCAAAGGCTTGAAGTCTTGATAGGTGGAGAGAAATTCCAAATCCATGACTCTCCTCCACTTGCTCAAATACAAGTTTAAAACCTGCAAGGAACGACAGTTTTCCGCCATGCATTCGAGGTCGCGGTCGCATACTTCCATTTGCGCCTCGATGGAAAGAAGATTCCGGAAATGAGGAAGAAACTGATGCATAAGTTGAGGATCCAGAATTCGCAACGAATTCCTTGTGAGTCCCTCAACGCGGTGCCATTGACTGCAAACTTGAGCGCAAGCCCTGCGATCTGATCTGCTTCTAACTCGTCTCATTATCTGCCCTACCTCATCGTCACTCAACTTCTCCATTTTGAAATGGCAGTGGAGCGATAAAAATCGCTGCAACTTGTCCTCAAACCCAAGGAAGAACGTAGTAGCATGCACACAAATGTGATGACGAGAGTGCTGTTAGCAGAAGGGAGACCAGCAGAGCCACGAAAATGGGATACTAGCTACGAGACACATGCGGAGAAGACTTCGCGGGAACATCCTACAAGCTAGACAGCTTTCTATCGCTCATAATTAAAGAAATGAACGGTAACGGTATAAACTCTCATCCCGATCACTATCCGAGCAACCTATCTACGATGTATAATTTGGAGGCAGAAGTCGTTAAAGCAGACAGGAACGAGTCCCAAAACTCGCCAAAGGGCTCGAGAGGTCTCGAATCTCGTCTGGGAACGCTACCAATCAAGAAGATCATTGAAGCTTTGGTCTCGGGAGAATCTGCTCCAACACGAAGCAGGATGGAGAGAGCGGCAGGCTGAATGGGACGCTGGATGGGTTCCATCGGGACCACCGCAGTTCTTGGAATTCACACTCTGGGCCCACCATTCGTCAAAGGCAGTGCGTCACTCCCACCGTAGAGGGTCAAAGTCCCTTGGGCAACCCGCCCACCCCAGCCTCGTTCCCATCATGCTTGTCTCTCGCCTTGTTTACTCGCCGAATGCCACACAACCAGCGTTCCCGTTTCGTTTTCCTGTCCGCCTCTAAACATGGTTTATACTCCGGCCAAAACTCTTCGTCTCTGGCTGACGAGGCGAAAGAACCGTCAGATTGGAAACCCACAGATGACATCCGATGCCCCTCGGAAACTATCGGTCAAAAGGCATTTAGGGTCGTGAGGACATGGATGTTAATGCCAAGTAAATTGTTTCTATTGGTACACTTTCTCTACCTGGTTTTTGAAGTGCATTTGATTCAATATAATTGTCCATGTTTCCATCCTTGCATCTGGTTTAGGGATAAGTTAAATCGCGTGTTTATTGTACCTCAATGCAGGCCCCTGACACTCTCGCTACAGAAGAGCCTGTTCGTATGCTGTAATAATTCTACAGATTTTTTAAAATCGCAGAAGAAGAAGGTCAAACTATAGAGCTGCAATATTATCGAAACGGAAGGTTTCAAATAACTTCAAACTAGAAACACTGCAAGTAACCGCAATATTCAGAACATGAATGATCCATTAAACGCCATCTAAGAAAACTTGATTAGAGAATTCGTGTTTACTTTTAACAATAATGCTCCATATAATGAAGAGGAATCCGTAATCATTTGAACAATATAGTATTGATGGTCCTACATAGTTCCTCATACTTGCTCAGACTTCCAAATTAGATAAAGTACCAGACAAGTAAATAGCACTCTGGGAATTTTAGATCAGCCCAAAATAGCATTCCTAGCTTAGACCTATTAATTTGAATACATTAAAGAGCAGCGCCAAAACACGACTAGGAAGCAGTTTTGGTTGACCTACATGTATGCCCACACTGTGCAGTCCAAAAATTCAAATATTCAAGGACAAGTGGAAATATCACCTAAAGAATTGTTATATGTAAGAAGAATTGATGAAAAAAATTGACGTATATCTTGCGTGGGGGTCTAGGTTTACAACTTCATCTCATTTACTTGAGGATCTATTGTAGTTTCGCATTTATCCAAGATCTTTTGCGATTGAAGGTTGTATATGATATGTGAAGAATCTCTTAATGATAAAAGTAAAAAAGCTTTCTGCTTCATCACCAAGTTGAGCTACTGAAAGTATGTAAATTCCATATATCTAATAATGGAATGAATCGTCTTGTTATTTTGATTATCAGCATATGTCATTTTAGGTTTTATGTATGTGAATGATGAATGACAAAATCCGCTAAACATCATAATATAAAAATTTCTTAGACATTAATATTTGATTTTTGTTGTTTCAATTTCAACTTGAGTTTCGTGTGGTAGAGTTTGAGTTCGAATATTTTTATCTAAATTCAAGATTTGAAACAAATAAGCGTTATCAAAAATAAATTTAAAAGAATTAATGCTCCACTTGACAACAATGGGTATGAGTGAGAGTGGACGAAAAAAATAATTTTGAGCAAAAGTAAGTAGATTCAATTTCCAAATGTTCAATATGTAGTTGAAATAATTTATTTTTCATAGTTTCTACATAATATAGCCTCGATTTGGATTGAGAACTATTAACTTAAGACTAATTTTAAACAGTTTTGGGGGGAAAAATCAGACATAAATTCCACAAGAATAACTATCTAAAGTGCATACTTCTAGCTTCTCAGTACCTATGTAGATATTTTTAACAAATTTTTATTAAAAAATAAAATATTTTGAAGTTTATTTTATATATGGTAAAAGCGAATGGACTTGATATTACAATGGTTGATTTTGAAACTTAGTAATGTACTTATAATTTTAAGATGATATAAGTTTATATTTGCATCACATGTTATAAGGTTGATATTTCTATTATGATAATCATGTTTGATGTCAAACAGATGTACCTGAGTATGTTAAGTACATTAATTTAATGTTAGTCATTAAAATACTACTCCTAGATCCATAATTTGTTTGAACATCCATTTATAACAAATGGAATAGCTTATGTTGCAATATCGATTGCACATCAGTGATAAATTAGTACACTAGAGATTTCTGTAATTTCAACTAAGTAATCAAATAAAATTTTAATTTCAATTTTAACTTTAAAATATCCACAGAGACATGAATTATCAATATCAAATATTTAACTACATACCAATCATAATATTGAAATTTAAGTAAAAATATATGTAAATTATCAATTAAATTACAAATAATTTAAAGTATATGTTCTATTCAGTGAATTTCATTTTCAAAGATATAGACGCATGTGCAAAACATGGTCATGTTCATATCACTTTTGAATTTTTGGATAAAAATTCTATCATTAATTCAAATAAATTTTATGCATTAAATGTTAAAAATGCTAAAAAAAAGGTGATTTTTGGAAAATAATTAGATATCAATTATAATTTGAATTTATAGATTTAAGTATCATCAGATAAATTATAATTTATACCTTAAAAATTAAAACTTAATTTGTTCCATAATTGATAAATTAAATTTTTGAATAATTTTTTAATATTTGAACTCAATGTAAACACTAATGATCGAATAAATTTAAGAATTCAATGCAATTCAACATTAAATTTGCACTAATTTTTGAAAATAATGTACTATAATAATACACTTTAAGAGCAAGATTAGATAGAAATTGAAGATGTATAGATCTGAATCTCTTATGTGAAGATAGATCAAATCCAATGTTCTATAATATTGATATGAGTGTTAAACGGTAAATGGTTATTTTTTATCTTAGAATTTTAGAAGTAATCTAAATTGATCATTGCGTTAGGTTCACACAACACATTGCATTTTGTATTGAGGATCAATTCAAGATATTAGTTTCATTTTAATCAAGTATTGATGCTTAAAAAATTACATGATTATTACAGATATTTGAAAGCTAATGATTATCATGAAAAAATAGTTTATACGAAATTATATTAATATAATATTTTTTTTCATAAGGATAAATTGATGAAGACTTTTTATTGATATCATGGCCATGGTATTTGAAACATATTTGTTAAACAAATATTTACTTAATGTTATTATTTTCAAATTGCAATTTTTTTGGTATAGTTGACGATCAATGAAACATTTCAATTGGCTTAATAAATATTATCTTTTGAATCATCTATTACAAATGATATCATCATCACGAGAGAAAAAGTCTTCAAAGTCAAATAGTGTATATATATAAAATTCCATATCAATGATGGAGTTGTTGAATAAATTATATACTAACATACAGTCTAAAATTGTGATTCTAAGTGGAATAAATCTATTGAACATTGAGAAGAGTTTTGTATGCCTACAACTTTGAAGTTTTCACCATACTGAAATCCACTATAGTAGATATGGTAAGTCAATGCCACCAGGTAATATTATGCTATTGAAGCTTGAACCTGGACTTCACATCAATTAGCTTCTAGCTATTCCTCTTCATTTAAGACGATAGTTATTTCTCAACCCCAATATGACCAAATCACTTAGCCATGAAATCATGAACAAACCATGCTGAACAGATTGTCACTTTGGCTACGTTGTCATATATGCTGCATGTCAAAGCTATGGTTGAAAGGGTTGATTCTACAAGATTCTAAAATCACATTTGGTGTAGTCTTTGATTATCATAGTCGAGATAAGATAGATGCATATGCGGACTTTGAAAAATTAATACTATTGTAGTCAAAGACGAGATTAACGATTGTTTTAAATAATCTATATATTGTAATTGTTATGGTACTGATAAACAGTTATCGAAATTGCTTTGTTCCTATGAATTAAGAATATGGCTTGATGTGGGTTTCTAAACCTTTACGCACATGAAAGATTTCCTATATGCTGGAAATAAACATATAGGAAATACTTGACATACAGCTCGTCATACTTGACGATTTTTTCCTATAAGTGATCGGACTATATATCAGAAAAATGTTGAATTTTCAAATTATTTCATGGTTTTGTAAGCATTCCTTACCCTTCCAATTATGTTGTGCCTATTGAACCATACTGTGTGAACTACTGGCGTCACTTTCCCTTCCCAAAAACCGACTGTCCAGTTAGTGTCCCAGCAACATTCACATGTGTCTTCTACTTATTTCAGTCTGAGCCAAAGACCCAAGCTTTCCGCATAGCCATTCCCAAAGCTGAAGAAACTTGATCGAGTAATTGTCGCTTCTGGGCTTCGTCCAGAGAGGAGTCTGCTTAAACTAGTATTCATGCTCCACGCATGACAGAGATTCTAATTGTCATATACAATCTATGCTGCCCCAGTACTTCTTCCTACGTATAAGAATAAAGATACCTTCTTTAATTCACTTTCATAAAATTGCCGCTCTCTTGACACTGCTGAAGCGGTGTGTAGTAGTAGACCAGTGAATCGATCCCCACCCGTTCTCAAGAACATGTGAGGAGATTGACTCACACGGCACATCTACTGACCTCGGCTTCTCAGCCTTGATCTTCATGTCCGTAGTGCAATAGAATCATTTGGTGGCCGATGGATAGTGTCGTGAGGGCTGTTGTGGAGGCAATTCATGCATCGCCTACTCAAGCAGTGCTCTGCCTGTCAGGTGGAGCGTCTCAGGTAGTGTACCTTGTCATGGATTCTTTGAATTTGATTTTGTTTAGTTCTTTCCTAAGTACACTGAAGCAAAGCTTTTGTGAATTCCGGGTGTGGATCTTGGAACTTGTGAGAAGCTTTTAGCTGGAGTTAGGAAGGTCGCAGGAGCGAAGTATTGCGTAATGCACATTATCGGATAATTCCTCCAGCTGGTGGTAAAGAAACGTAGGATCTTGCAAGGAAATGCAGCAATACGCCACATACGAAAATAGGATGAGAGCGTTATTTGTCTTGAACCCAATCTAAACATTCCTAGTATATGGAGAGATTGTGATTAGTTTCTGGAAACTGAAAAGATCGCTACCTGCATTTGCGCGTTCAAGATTTCAAAGCTGAAGGTTTGAAGACACATTTTTCAAATAGGATCCTCTGGCTTCCAATCCAACCTCCCGTCGTTGCTGGACTCTGGCAAATCAATAACCAGTTCAAACCTTTTATTTCCCTGAAGATCAAATTATCACCAAAAATGCCACCTTGTGGAAGCTTCAATTTGCTTTTTTCTCTTACAGGCTCTAGGCTGGCTTTTGTCCGTTCCCCGAGCATCAAGCACGGTTTTGGAAGTTACTGTTCCTTATTCACGGATCTCAATGCTTCAATATTTGGGCAAGGTTTGAACCGTACTTTGAATGATCCTGTCAATGTTATGTTCCTACTATGTGGGTTGGTAGGTTTTTTTGAGCACTCTATTTCTGCTCTTTAGAGTAATTTTTACCTAGCTGACATACCCAACTGCCATCCATCAGGCCCCATTGCAATTCGTTAGCAGAGAATCGGCTGAAGATATTGCGCTTGCTGCATATAATCGTGCACTTCGATTGTCCATGCCGGGTTGGTATCTCTGGAAACCTTTTGACCATCCGCAATCCGGTGTGTCTCAGATGTATATGACCTTTAGCAGTATGTTTTTTAAGAACGTGGAGAAACGTCTGAGCCATGTAGTTCTGAGCTGAATCACATCACTTTCAAATACAGGTGTTCCTGTTGCGGGGATAGGGTTCACAGGAGCATTGGCGTCTGCTACACCCAAACGTGGAGATCACAGGTACAAAGTTTATCAGATCACAAGTGTGACCAACCATCTACTGCAGGTGAAACATTAACAGTTTGAAGTTTCGATGGCAGAAACTTATATCTGTAGTTATGGCCTCTCGTAGATGTTATGTTGCAGCGCGCACACAGACAGGACTCTGGGAGTGCAACCTCACTCTTTCCAAGGTAAATTGTTGTACTGCTGAAGTCTGGCTGGCTTGTGAGGTGCCTCCCTTTGAAGCGTTCTCAGCTTAGTTGACTGTACATGATATTTGTATCCGTTCTCATAGGCTTCCAGTTTGATCCGTAGAGGTTCTCCGGAAGCGTTGTTTTGCCAGAAGGGTTATGACCCGTTTTGTCTCTCATGTAGCCAATAGTCTATAGGTAGTCCTTGCCATACATTTGTCTATCAGCCATCAACCGCCAATCATATTTGGACAGTATGGAGCTGAAGATCCCTAGTAATTAGACATTTTTGAATGCTGGAAGTGCAGGGCAAAAGAGACCGGATTGGGGAAGATGAGGTGACGAGCCGAATTTTGATCAAGGCAGGTGACTTTTTAAGTTTGAGAAGGTGAATTACAATGGTTAAGCTTACTGTGGTAAGTTCGTCTAATAGTTGTGAGCGTAAATGCGCACCCCTTAGACATCAGAAAGATTTGAGGTCAGTCAGGTGCCTTTCCTTCGTTGCCTTAGTGAAGCATTTTGTCTGTTAAGTTGCAGACTCTTGCTGATGTCTGTGGAGTATCTCTCGAACTTCCGCTGGGACTGGATGATGGTGTTGAGAAGCTGAATGTGTCAAACAAGAACTTTACTGAAGATGAGCAGTTAGAGCATCTTGTTGAAGGCAAAACGTCCATGGTTTCATATGCTCAGTCTGAAGGTACTCATCTAAGAGGCTCGAAACCATCACAGTTTTTATTAATGGCTTGAGAAAAGTAGCCAGTGCTCTTTCGCTCGGATTTTCCGTAATCTTGACTTCGTCCGGTGTTAGCAACCGTGTTAAGGACACGAGATGTCTCTGTCTCGCTTGAGTAGCTGAAGGTACTCATCTAAGAGGCTCGAAACCATCACAGTTTTTATTAATGGCTTGAGAAAAGTAGCCAGTGCTCTTTCGCTCGGATTTTCCGTAATCTTGACTTCGTCCGGTGTTAGCAACCGTGTTAAGGACACGAGATGTCTCTGTCTCGCTTGAGTAGCTGGGTCCACTGTATTTTACAGTTACTCATGCTATATTCCCGAACAGGTGGTATATTCCAATCAGGAGTACGGAAGGTGGTACTTTCAGGTTCTTTCAATCCCCTGCATGAGGGCCATGTCAAGCTCCTGGAAGTCGCGTGCAGGTGATTCTTCACCTTTCAGTCCTTCGGCAAAGCTTTTTACCATCCAGTTTGTATTCTACTGTCAAGGGATATGGTAAACTACATATGTCAAGGTTGTATTAATGAAGACAGACCAAGATAGCCCATCCTGAAACCAACTGATTGATTTAATTTGATTTGTGATAACCTCTTCATGGTATATAGCGTTTCAAACATGTGATTCTCTAACATTCTGAAGAGTGTGGATGCTTGTGCTGTAATTTGAAACGATGGATAGTATGTGCGAAAGGAGCATCCCGTGCTTTGAGATATCTGTAATCAACGCAGACAAGCCTCCACTCTCCCTGGTTTCCATCAAACAGCGTGTGAAACAGTTTCGAGACATAGGTAAACTACAGAAGGCTTAGTTGTCATATTCGTGCAGGAGTGCCTTTACCTTGTGCTTATATCCAAAAAACGATATCGGCGTGCCTTTGACTTCCATCTGATGTCCGTTGGCCTCACAGGTTAAACATTGTTTGATATGTTTTTGACACTGGCAGGGAAGACTCTTGTTTTGACCAATCAACCTTATTTTTATAAGAAGGCTGAGTTATTACCGGACAGCACATTTGTCGTGGGTGTCGACACAGCCATCAGACTGATAAACGTATTCCTCAAGCACCCAAGGACAAGAATCACATACGCATGATTTGAGACACTTGTACAATGATTCTCGCATACACGATTTCTTGTTCTTGAGCATTTCCATACAGCACGTCACTCCTTGTAATTTACCTCTTACGACCCTCTTTCCTATCTGTGCAGCCAAAATATTACGGCGAAAGTCGCGAGAGAATGCTGGAAGTACTGCTTGGTATTAAACATTTGGGTTGCGATTTCTTGGTTGCTGGTCGCAAAGTTGGGGAGAAGTTTCAAGTAACAGTCCAAATACCCCCTTCCATTTAACTTCCTTATGACCGATCTGCTGAAGACGCTGTCCATTGAGCACGTAAAAGTTAGGAACATGAGCTATATGTACAGATTTGGACAGTTAAGGAGCCCTGGCAGGTGTTGAAGTATTTAACCGCAAATGATGGGATCTGATTGCAGGTACTCGGTGATCTTAATGTTCCGGAACCTGTTCAAGAGTTGTTTCGGGCAATTCCTGATGATTCTTTCCGAGTGGATATTTCATCCACCGAATTGAGGGAGACAAATGACAAAGCTTAGTACACTCAAACGGGCAATTTTGCGGCAATGAATGCTCTGACTCGAACATGTTTGAAACAGCTGGAGTACCAAAGTACATTCTGTACTAGAAATGATTCTAATCCCTTTAGTGGCATCAGACCGATATTATTGTTTCTGGAGAATAATTTCAGTGTCTTAATTCGTGAGAATGTCGTCAGCAAGTCTTAAAGGATGGGTTCTGAGTAAAACTCAGATACGCTTCTGTGGTTCAGCTTTTCTATACCTTAAGTAACTATGACACATGAGTCATAAGAACATGTTACTTCTATGCGAGAGAAAATTGTTACCTTACATTGATAAAGTTAATTTAAAGTTTTTTAAATATTGTATTATCATCAAGCATCATAGACAAGATTCTGATGTTAGAACTCACAACTCTGAGTTCTTACATAGTGATGTGTGAAGATAGTATTTTAAGGTATCACTAGAAAGTTTACATATGTAATATTTAGTGATAATTATTCAAAGTTTGAGTGAGTTTATTTTTTCATTGAGATATTTACAACTTTCAAAAGTTGGAAAATCCAAGTTGAGACTTAGATTTAATATAAGGTGAGATATCTATGTACATAACGATAGAAAATGCAATATGAGGAGTTTTGAAGTTATTGCAAAAAAGATGTGATTACTTGTCATCTCATCACAATTTACAACAAAATGCTGTTTTTGAAAAATTCAGTGTTGGAAAATATGCGTAGTATGTTGAGCCAACCTCATTTACCATGTGAATATTGGATTAAAGTTGTTAACATCACAATGTATTTAGTAAACCTAACTCCTTGTGCAATCAATTTTTTGGTTATTATTTGAACCGAGTCACAAACGAATGATTGATTATAGTCGTTGAAAATTTTTGATTGTACAACTTACATTTTTATAGACAAGAAAAAATAACACTAAATTAGATTATACGTATTGTTTTCTTGGATATATTAGTGATGTGAAGGTAATGGGCTACGGAAGTCAATAATGATGTCACTAGGGATGTTTTTTTAATGAAGTCATCATTGAAATAGTGAGATATAGATGTGACAAAACAAAAGTTCTAATATAGATGAAGCAATTCCTTAACAACAAAGATTAGATTAACAGATTATTGTTGATGAGCCTCAAGTATTTGCACCATACGATAGAGATCAATCAAAATTTCATACTAGGAGATCATTGAATCCAATTAGTAAAAATCTTGCTGAATCGGAGTATGATGATGACAATCAATTAATTTTGAAAGAAATAGAACTTTATATTTATAAAATAGCTCAAATCTCTATTCACATGATCAGTGATCACATTTTGAGCTTGAGTGAAACTATGAAGCTCAAAATGTGATCACTAATGTATAACAAGATCAGTAAACTAGTGAAGCTAGCAAGCAATCAAACTTTGATTGATTGCAAATAAATGTACAAGCTAAAGTATAATCAAGCTGATGATGAAAAAAATACCTTCAAAGCTAGGTTGATGGCTAGAGATATCACACAAGAAAAAGATGTGAACTACAACAAATTTTTCACACTAGTAGCAAAGTATGTCATTATTTGGTATGTGAACTTGCTACAAAATTTATTCTTGTTATGGATCTTAGTTAAAATATTTCTCTATGTATCTCTAGAATATGAGATTTACATGAAACAACCAGTTGATTTTGAGAAGAGAGTTCAAAAAAAGCTGGTTTGTAGATTGCTGAGATTGTTATATAGATTGAGCAAGCTCCTATGCAGTGAAATGCAAAATTTGATGAGTTCATGAATGTAAAAAAAATTCATGAAGTGTGTATCATAATTTTGTATATATAAAGAGTATAAATTATGAGATTTTTAATCATATTATTCTAGTATTCAATATGAATGGTGTGCTCATTTTGGTAAAAAACCAATCGGACGTCAACAAATGCATGAACAAGTTGAAATTTGCATTTAAGTTGAAGGATTTGGGTCACTTTAGAAGAATTTTTGACATTGATATTCATAAAAATTTTGATGAAGAAGAGTTTATGATTGAATTAAAGCAAGTACGTTTGACATGTTTAGCATGGTATAATCCAAAGAAGTATGAACTTCTTTGACATCATATTTTAAAATTTTTGTAGTTCAATATTCTACCAATGTCACTGAAAAGGAAAAATGTCATTTTCTTTCTAAACCAAAGTTGTAAACAGCCTCATATATTTGATGATGTGCGCAAGATCTGATATTGCTCTAGCGATGATAAAGTGAGCAATCACAAGTACAATATATAAAACATAAATTGGAATGAGTGAAAATGAAATTTCAAGTACTTGAAAAATATTAGATTTTATAATTATCTTTGAATGTTTTTTTAAACAATGTTAAATTCTTGTTATGTTACGTTGATGTTGACTATGGACAAGATTTGAACCAGAAAAATCTACAAGAGAATATGTGTTTACATGTTACACAATGGATGTGTTAAACAACTATCTCGTAGAAAGGTGTCACTCAATCAACAATTGAAGCTCGATATGTAATGGCTATAGAAGCAACAAATGAAATTATTTGGTCGGCTAAGCTTATCACTTAGATGGGATTGTAATAGCAGGTTCTCAATCTTCACGTACATAACCAAAATGAATTACATTTTGCTGCAAATCAAGTGATGAACGGAAGGGTGACACACATCGTCATAAGATATCACTTTATGAGACATAAAGTGTTTGATAAAATGATTAAGCCAATCAAGAATGATGGCAATTCAGTTTTTGATAAGACTTGATAATACAAAAAAGAATTGACACAAAAAAATAAAAAAGAAGATCAACATCTAGTATACATGGATCATCTAACCTAGCTACGTCCATAAGAACAAATAAATGATATCTTTAGTACGGAAAGTAGACTTGCTGCGCCAAGTATCACAATCGAAAGACAAAATTCTAACCGCAGTTTCCAAGTGCATGTATCCACCGTCACCGACAAATGAAGTAAATTGTCAAACCGCTATCTATAGTTAAGTATTTTAGGTTTGTGCCGACTTGAGTTTGTTGTTAACAATCTTCCCTTCACACCTGTTTGAAGAATAACAACCTACTTAAGTCATATAATTACTCCGCACAAAATTCAAGAAGGAAATCTCACAAAAGACTACTCTTTAAAGAATAGTTTATTAGAACTAAATTGTAGCCAAAACAAGATGGAGTGAAGTATATAAAGGTAACCAAAATGCTAATAAACTATACTTTTACTCCTCATGCAAAATCCACATAGTAGCACAATTTATACTAAGATTCTTCAAAGGAATAAATTTGATCAATGCATGAGCTCGATTGAATTTATCGTCAGTTTTAACTAGCTCAATCCTTTCATCTGAAACTGCATGTCTGACAAAATGGTATCTGATATTGATGTGATTCATTTTGTTATCCATCACTTGATTTGCAGCAAGATGAAGAACACTTTGGCTATCATAATGAAGTTTGAGAAACCCATGTTTCAATTTCATCTAAATGATCAACTTATTTAACCAAACATCATAAAAAACACATACATTTTTCCTTTTTCAATGACATCGATTGGATAATGGGACTCAAAAAGTCTGAAATGTGTTGTCAATGGAATTCTCACTCCTTTAAAGCCTATTATGTTAAATTTTTCAAGTATACAATGAACGTATTTGACTTGATTCAACCATAGTCTCTTCTTCACCAAATCTCTATGCATGTTTATTTCTAATATCCTTTTGGACTCACCTAAATCTTTCATTTTGGATGCAAACTTTAGCTATTTTTGTATGTATCATTGTTGGATTGATTCTCCGCCATGATGAACATATCATTCACATAGAGTATACAAATAATAAGATTAAAAATTTATTATTCACCTTTTTCATATGTACACGAGTATCATACACACTTCATGAAAAACCTTGTGTCTTCATGAACACATCAAATCTTGCATTTCATTGTCAATGAGCTTGTTTCAATTCATATAATGATTTTAACACTCCACAAATCAAAGATGAATTTCTAATTTTTCTTCTCAAAACTAACTTCTTGTATTATGTAGATTTTTATCCATAGAGATCCATAAAAAATGTTGTTATGATGTACATCTGATTCATAATCAGACTAAATCTTGCAACGAGAGCATACTAGACAAATTATGGCATATTTTGCTACATGCAAGAAAACTTTATTATAGTTCATACCATTATCCTGTGTGAAACCTCTAGCCACCAAACTGGCTTCAAAGATTTTTTCCTTGTCACTTCAATTGATCTTCAATTTGTACACCCATTCGCAATCAATCAAAGCTTGATTTTTTGGAAGCTCAAATAGCTTCCAAGTCTTGATGTCACTTAGTGTTTGACACAAACTTGAGCTTCTATGTAAGAAGAAGTTTCTATTTTCTCCATCATCATCCTTTGTATCAATGTCACGATCTTCAAGAATAAATGAATCAGTCTATAAATCATATCTCATCGGAGCTATATACTAATCCAATTTAACTATCTTCTAGTAGAAAATTCTGATTGATGTCTATTGTATGGTGCAGCAATCAAAGTCTTATCAACAAAAACATGCTATTTTGATTCTTGTTCTTCATGAACTACTCCTCGTGTCACATAATTAATCAGGTAATGATCAATGTCTCTCTCAACAACATTCGTGAATGAAGAATTCTTCTGAAAGTATATGGAGTCTAAAAACTCTCATACTCTGTTAATGATTTGCGGTCATTGAAAGAATCATTCTTATTGACAATAACGTTACAAGCTATTGGATCACATAACCTAAACTACTTCAAGTCTCAACCAATTATAATCAATCATCTGTTTGTGACTCAATTCAAACGGTTTCAAAAAATTGAATGCATTAGAAGAAAAACAAAACTTCTAATATGTATAAGTTTAAGGTTTCGTCAACTTGAGCTATTGGTATCATGCAACTGATGTGTTGATCAAATTATTTCTTTGGAAAGTTTTAAAAGACATTGTGCTATTATGAAAGTTTTGCTTGAGGAGCAAATTGAAGTTTAATAGTCATTTTTAGTTAACTCTATATATTTTTATTCTATCATGTTTTGACTACAACTTAGTCCTAGTTAGCTCTAATTTAAAGAATGATCTTTGTTAGGTTTTCTCCAAGTATCTCCATTAGAGTAATTATATAGATTAAGGGGTTGTTTTTCCTACATGTGTTAAGGTAGAGATTGTTAGGTGTGATACTAGTTGAGGACAGAGCATCGGTGACAGTGGATTTAAAGTATCATGTCAATCGGCTTTAGGATTTTGGCTAAAGTGAATTGTTGGCTATTTCTTAGTTAAACTACTGAGCGTAAAAAGTAGACTCGTCGCGTTGAACATTTATTGTATGTTCTTGTGGACGTAACCTACAATCTTTACTCTCTTGTATGAATGTCTATTTGCTTGTAATGTTTTGCTTGATGTGAACTTGAGTAAGTTATACTCAAGAAATAAAGAAATATTATTTTCTCAATTTTTTTTAATTCACATTCAATCCAAAAATTTAATGAAGTCACATCACAATTAAACTTTTATCTCACTTTTTTTTTCTTTTTTTCACTATTATATTGTTTACAAATTTTTTCTAATGAGCAAGTTTTGTTTAAAAATCAAATAATAAATATCCAAATCAAATTGAATGGATTCAACAAAATTTGATTGAAGATTTTTTTTTCGATTGCTCCGTCAGATGAATTTTATAATTTGATATAAGAAACATATATTGTTAAAAAAATCAACAATTGGTTACAAACAATGATATATAATGATTTTTTTGTATTTTGTAACATATTTGTTGATGCAAATTGCTAAATTTCATTGCTTTATATCAATCGTGAGAAAATTTTTATATAAAATGCTTATTAAAAAAACATCAAAAGAACCTAATTCATCTCTTCAAAATAAAATTCAGATAAATACAAATCTTTAATAAAAATATTTTTTAAAATAAATTTTAATCAATATTTGATATTTTTTTAAAAATAAATTCAAATATATTAAATAATCATTGTTACACAAACTATAATCAACTTAAAATTGAGTTTTATGTTAATGAATATTAGTTCTCAATGATATACAATATCAATTAGTTTTAATTTAGATCAAATATATTATTTAGATTTTTCTAAATTTAAATCCAAATTGAAATATAAAATCTTACAAGAAAAATTCTTCCTACAACTTTTAATTATAGAATTTTCTTAAATCATTGATACAAAAATTTCTTTGAATTTGTAAGTGATTGATAATAAAAAAATTTATAGGTTGAAATTATATAAAATTCAAACAATATAGCTCAATATGAGTTAAATGAAAAAATTTAATAAAATTTAAATTTTTTCATCATTTAAATAATAAACCTCTAAACCAAATTACTCTTTAGCTGATATTATTTATTCAAAATAAATATAATTTTTTGAAAATTTGAAAACTCATTCAACAGAAAAAAAATTTAATTTATTTTTCATTGTGATATTATTTTAAATTGTTGAACACCTCAAAATTTATCAAACCAATTATCAATTTTAATTAAAACCATCCTCATCTTATCAGTGTCATATCGATGATATTTAACACTACTTGTCTATTTTTATTCATAAAGATGATACTAAATAATAGTTGATTCAAATATTTTTATAATAATTGTGTGAAAATACATTCTTGGAAACATGATGAGTATATTAATGCAACTTTTAAAGTTGTTACACAAATACAATCTCATGAATGAGATTGTATGAGAGCAGTTGATGTAATACTTTCACATAAAAGTGGAGAGATTAAAAACTTGAAAGATCAAAAAATAATAATATCTTTTAAGTATTTGATTGTTTTAATTAACAATTCTGGAATTTTGATTAAACCATTGTTCGGTGATTAATTACGCTTAAAAGGGACATGTGATTGATGATCATTGGAAAAAAAAATCACGTTTATATAAAACAACACATTTACGATTAAAATTGATTTATTGATCATGGCAACAATGTTTATAGACCTTGATTGCATTTATAAGGAATATTTATATTTAATACTGGAGTAAAAGCATGGTTGATAGTTAGGAAGAAGTGTGGTTTTCATGACAAGAAACAACAAAAATTATAAATTTGTTTGAAAATTAGAATATACATTGGAGAGATATGTCGTCTTTGCATATTAGTTTTGGTTGATACCCAAGTTTTTAATCTTGACAAGTGTTGAAAAACAAGTGTTGGTAGTTGCAAGGAAAAACAAGTGTTAGCTCATTGTTTTTCTAAAGGAAATTGGGTAAATGTAGTTTAGTGTATCCATGAATAACCATTCCATATGAACGGAAACAAACTAAAAGATTCTCATACAGAGAAATGCTGCTAGCATAAAATTAATTGCTATGGATGTGTTGTTTGTGTTCATAATTATTCTAGGGTATAATTGTACCATATCACAAGATCTTTAAGATGATGATGTACCAAGATTATTTTGATATCTCAATCATAATCACAAAACAAGGAAGTGTTTGAGGAGTATGTAGCCGACTGCTGCAAATCCATAATACAATTCCTTAGACCCTTTATATTGGTTTCTCATGAGCCAAACCCACATTCTTTTACCGTTTTTCACTTCTCTCATGTATTTAAAATTCTTGCACAAAGCACAAAAATTAGAGTTCATTGTACATTGCTTTTCATACATATAAAACTACATTCATAAAGTTATACACGGAGAGGAGAAGTAAAAGTGAGAGAAGAGACAACCGTTACTCAAAAAAACCTCACAACCCATAGAGACATATATAAGTAACCTTAGACTATGCCCGGTTTAGTGATCAGTGGCAGGTGGTAGAGTTAAAAACCTCAATGAATGTCTGACATATTTTATCAATTGGGATACTTATTGGGGAGATATGTCTCTAGAAATTAGTTTTGTTGGGTAACCAAGGCGACTGTCTTATTATTTGTGAAAGGAAATTGAGAAAGTGTATTGTATTGTATCCATGAAAAAGCATCCCTATGAAATGAAACAAACAAATAAAAAGATTCTTCTACAGGTAAATGCTGATAGCATCCTATTGCAGCTATGCGCACAATCGTCTCACCTGGCAGCTGATCTTTGGATCAGTGGCTTATACGTGAAGATTAAGCTGTGAGGAAATAGAATCCGATCATTCAATTCCTGCAAGGGGAATCGCGAGTAGAACAAACAACTGAATATCAAGGGGCGCCATTGACCTAAAACGTCTGTTACGGATGAAGACTTCCTCAGCTTCCGCAGATTCACAGCCACTTGTACCAAGAGAGTGAGTGATCCACTTGTCAAAAGCTGACGTTAGGTGAAGGAATCTACACCACTCTACAAGTTTGAAATTCGATCCTCGCAAAGTGATAATCTCATTTAGTCCTTCTCTGTAAACTTGTGGACTTAGAGAGTGCCATGTGTCAATCAGGCGACGACCCGCAACCAACCAGGTTGGCCTGGCCCGAGTTACCGGATTCGTTGCTTCATACCATAACTACTGCACATTTCATCCTTTACATTCCCAGATCAACTCTGTGGCCCACGTTGCAGCAGAGATAGTTACTAAAAGGCCAAACCTCACCTTCATGCTTTGTCCATTCCTGTGTCTGTAGATTCAGCTTGCTATGGCAAAGCTCCGAATATTTTCTCCCTGCAGCAAGTGGTACTTTCTCTCAGAGCTTACCTTCGGCTCGCAAAATTCTACTACATGAAAAGGCATCCTCGTTTCAGCCTTGAGTTTATTTCCATATCGTTTACCGCAATCGACATCTTCCTTTCTTGCGTTTCCATTTATGTTAATCTCCAGGTGGGGTCAGGTATAACCTTCAGTCTAGTGGGAGACAAATATTCTAAAAAAATTCATAACTATCAAAACTTAGTATTTTCAAAATCTGACTACATCCTGAAGATGGTAAGACTACTTGCACTTGTATTCTCCACGATCGAGAACAATTTTGGCACACGAGGACAGATATCTCACGGAAGTGTATTCTGACCATAAAACCATTTTGGCTTGGTGACCCAGATTGATGTGATTATGGTTGAAGACATGTCATCCGAGCATAACTCCGCCCCATTGGTAAGTCGAAACAGCACTAAGGTCAATCCCAATGATCCAATAAACAGGCATCCAGACGAATGTAGACAATATCTTAGCCGGAGAGCAGGGTTATTCTTAGAAAATTGGCGTGAGGCAGATAATTAGATCTGCTGCTCGCAAAAATACATAGCCACCGACCTTAGATGGACTGACTTCCGGCAAACAAAACTGCTCTTCCTTTCGAAGTAAACTACAAGAGAGTGAAGGCCGAGAACTTCTAGACACCTAAGGAGGAGCCGATCGACCAGGCCTTAAGAGACCTGACCTATGCCTTTATATCTACACTCCAGGATCAAAGCTCCCCTCACCGATTCTCAGAGTTGCAAGGCCCGATGTCAATCTTCGGATGAATTCATGAAAAGTCGCGTAATTGAAATTGCCCTCCACCGAGTTAAATCGAAGTTGAACAATCTTCGAATCATGTGCATCTACCACAAGCCCAAAAACTTCCACCAGGCACCGCCGATACCAAGCCAGATGGCAATATTCACCACACTGATCAAGAATCCATAACCCCACCACTTGGCGAGAGGAACGTAGCCTGCTCCGTAAAACACAGGTGCTGAACCAATACCGTAGTGCGTGAGTCCACCCATGAGGTTGGAAAGGAAGGCGAGGACCAAGGCACCGAATAGAGGAGGAGTACCAAGGGCAGTTGAGACAGAGAGGAAGGCAGTGAACATGGCTCCGATGTGTGCGGCACCGCTTGCGAAGAGATAATGGGAATAGAAGTACAAAAGCACCAAAATTCCGAACGAGGCCTGCCATTGCAAACCGAGACCACCAACGACCTGTAACACATCTTACAATAGTTAGTTACGTGCACGCAAAAGTAGACTATAGAGAGCAAACAGGAAGAATGATTGCCTCGAAGTTCAACAGCAAGACAAGAAAACAACGGCAAAGTGGCGTGTATTGAAGGATCATAGAAATGCTAAAGGCCTCTACCTTAACGACAGTTTGACTGAACCAGGCGATTAGTCCATATTTGTTCAGATAGCTAGCCATCGCAATAAGGGCAGCGAACCAGGTTAGGGTATCCCAGGCGACAGATTCTCCTAGACACTCCTTCCACGTCACAACACCTGTGGTCAACAGGACTGAAAGCCCCAGAATTGCAGCAGTCACCGCATCGATCTTCAGCATGCCACCGAAGATCCACAAACCGACCTGCAAAATTGGAAAATTACAATGTCATCTTCGGAGTCTTCCTCCACTCGGTTCTACGATCTGGTAGGTCAAAGATCTGGATTTATAAAGAACAAATGAGCAGTTTTGTGTAACAAAAAATATAGTTCTCTAGGACAAAGGCCACATACCGTCACAAAAAGGGTGGCTGCCATGATCATCTCATTCTTCGACATAGGTCCCATTTTTGCCAGGTTTTCGCGTGCCAACCTGGGTGCGTCGGGGCTGCTTTTGATTTCGGGCGGGTAGATGATGTAAAGCAACAGAGGAACAACTAACAGAGAGATGAACCCTGGGACAATGGCAGCTACAGCCCAGTCGGTCCATCCAATCGTCTGACCAATGGCACCGGCAGCCAGATTCACACTCAAGGGATTGGCAGCCATAGCAGTCAGAAACATGGCGGAGGAGACAACCGAAGTTTGGAAGCAGGTCAACATGAGCCACGAACCAAGCTTACCCTCGGTCCCATCGCCTACCCTGCTGCCGCAAGCGATGCACAATGCTTTCACAAGAGGGAGAAAGATTCCTCCCGCACGGGCGGACACAGATGGAATCGCTGGGGCCAACAATGCCTCACTGAACACCAGACTGTATCCAAGTCCTAGAGATGTCTTCCCGAACAAAGCCACAAACTGATAGGCCACGCGGTTGCCCAATCCAGTCTTAATGAATCCCTTGGCAAAGAAAAAGGCGAGGGCAATGAGCCAAGGAATGGGATCTCCAAAGGCACTGAAGGCAGCAGCAAATGTAAGTGTCTTCGTAAGCACGGCTGCACCAAGACCCATGAGGGCGACAGCTCCCAGCGGCAAAGGCTGCGTAATAATACCCACGATGGTCGCCAAGAAGATCGCCAAAAGCTGCCAAGCGTTTTTGGTCACGCCGGCTGGAGTGGGAAGAAACCAAATAATCACTCCCGTCACAATGGAGGCAAGAAGCGGTTTCATTGCAGCACCCTGCCATGGCTCGGCAGGCTTGGGTGCAGGAGGAGATGCTGGCGCCGGCACAGCTGCGCCAGCAGCGGACGCTTTCACGACCAATCCATCCACATTTTTCTTGCCCCGAGACCTCAAAGTAGCGAATCCCTGGGTAATGAACGAACCGCTGCCGCTACCCTGTTGCAAAATCGATGAGGAGCTCGACAGGCCCTCCCAACGCTTGCTCGATGATGCAGCAGATACTAACCTAGCAGAAGCCCGCTTCGATGATGACGAAGATGCTGATGCAGGCGATGATGCTCCTCGCGCAGAGGCGAAATGTACAGCCGTGGGCGCGGTGACAGCAGTGGCCGCTGCCATGGCTCCTCCTTCTCTCGAGCTCAGCTCCCCCGAGCTCGAGCTCCTCCAAGAGAATATGAACAACAAGAAAGACTCCTCCTCGCGCTTCGATTACCAAGTTCAATTCCTAGAAAGGGCAGCAGACCCAGGGGACTGGTGAGGTGCAGAGAGAGAAGGAGAGAAGGAGAGCGCTGGAGATAGGCCAAACACCGGAGTTAAGAAAGAAAGGTCTCGTCCCAGTTCCTCGGGATTGTACCCGGAGGTAACATTTGCCTATCCCGGCCCCCGAACTTCTCTTCCGGCCCGCTTTGACATGGTTTAAACCATTGGCAAACACCTTCCCCGAATCGACCGTCGGATTTCTCGTATCGACGGCCACTATAGCCTCCAAGGGGGGGACCTTCTTTCAACGGTGGAAACTAATTCTAGTGATGCATAATCAATAAATATCAAATAACAGGCCTGACCTACCGCTCTTAGGCAGCTAGAAGCCCATGACCTGTCCGTACCGGTGATGCTCCTCAAGTGTACCGGCCGGCGCGCATGGGGAATCGCGTTGGACTGAAGGAGGTCGGAGAGACGGACGACGCCAGAGGGAGGTTTGGTCTGTTCGTTTCGGAAATTCTTGCTCGTTCGGAACGAGGAAGAGGCGTTTGTTGTAATGCAGTGGTCGCTTGTACCCACAAGATTACTGTATTTTTTTGTTCGTTGCACTTCAGTGCTTTCCGTCCAGGAGCTGTGAACATGGTAAAGTATTTCAGACGGAAATTGATGTAGTGTAGGGAGTTCACATCTGCCAGGAAAAGACACAGCACAGTGGGCATCGCTGTAGTCCACACCCCATCTTTTTCGGCTTTTTTTCATCCTCACTTGAACAAAACAAGACTGAAGAGCATCATCGGATTCCGCTTCAGAATTAGGCTTGAATTTTGGTCCTCACTTGAGACACGTACTGCACAGTCTCCTTATTCACTGGATATTACCGCAAGAAATGAGCTGTTCTGGATGGTTGATTGTCCTACGAAGTTGTTAAGTCTTCTAATTTACTGGAAGTAAATTATCACGTCAATTCGCTACGCAGAATTGGAGATTTTGTAACTGTTAACACACAAATAAATAAATGTTACTCTGTAATACTTTATAATTGTATCATAATATATGTTGATCGATAAATACATCTGTTAAAGTATGATTCTATACCTCTAACCTCTGTTAAAGTATATTTAGTATAGGCCAAACCTTAACGTGTTACTGATGAAAAGTCTTGGATGTGATATCGAGATACTAACAATTGAGAACTGCTTCCCAATCATTGGGAGAATCGCTTTACCAACGCAATTTTTTTAGCAACTTCAAGGAAACAAAATTTGTCATATAATCTCACAATCACGATATTCATCACGTTCCATGCTTAAGTTCTTGTCCTTCCATTGAAAATTATTCCGAGACAAGCACCGTTAAATTTCTAGTATAAATTTTCTGGCTATATTTCACATTTTTTGTTCGTATTCATATTTGGCGTAAGTCTCCAATGCTAAGGTCTAGTTGTCTAATAATTCAATCTGGTCTTAGTGAACTTTAAATGTTACTACGCCAATATTCCAGTGGGTCAAAGTAATCCAGGTATTGATTTCAACCATATTACCAACATTGCAGATGAACAGAAGCAAATGATATATTTGCTTCATGTATGGAGTATATACAAGAGCATGAGCGCATGGACCAGTACAACTCAAAATACATGAGTCTCCATAGTGAGAGCCTACATAGCAAATAAACCTATATATCCTTTATTACAGCATATAACAACCATGATCAGGGCTAAACTGATAATAATCAACAAATAAACAGTGAATAATTCAAATTCATCTTAATTGTACTGGATGGGGTCACCTATTAATCCATTTCATACCTAAATCAACAAATTCAAAAACATGAAATCAGATTACATCCTTAATAGTTTTTAATCAAAACGTAGTCATATTTAACAATATATCATATTAAAGTTATGATTCTAGTTAAAAAATTGATTTTTTACTTTACATAGTGAGTTAAAACATATCTATACAAATCACTTTGCTCAAAACACTAGTTTGTTTAGCTTTTCATTAATACTCACAAACTTAAATTCGTCATTATACAATGTTAATATGATGGAATGATGTTTCATTTCAAGGTTCTTTTACATTAGTTGAATGCATTGCATTCTTTGCAAAATGAAGATCAATATGACTGTCAAAATGTAAACTCACGTTTGATGTGAGTGAATTGATTCATAAACTCATAGAATTAAGGAATCTGTTGAAATACATTGCTTCTTTTGTTAACTATACTATCACGACATACTTTTTGATGTTGGAGAAATAAAAAAATATGTGCTTGAGATTTTTACAAATTATTATTCTTTAAGTGATTCATATTTCACAGATGTCTTACACTATTTCACACCTTCTACCACTAGATTGGGATGACCCAATAAACCACTAAAAACGTCACTAAGTGGGTGTAGTGGTAGCGAAGATCAGCATATTTTATTTTCTAGTTAACTATAGTGGTGCACGTCGGCTCTTGATCAATAAAGGTAGTTAACTATAGTGATGTGACCGAGTGCGAGCTTTTCGAGACTTGACTACTTCTCATGAATTAGAAATCATGGAAGCCGCCGTCAGACAAGCCCGCTCTGTGTCAGCTCGCCGCCACTATAGCTATGTCCGCGCATACCGACCGACCCAATGTCACCAGATAGATTACACACAGGCCTTCCAAAATCGATACACGGAGTTAGATTAGATGTAATTTGGCCGCGCAGACGAACTTTTCAATCCACGCGACTCATCCAGTGTCAAAGTCTCAAAGACATCTCCATGGACACGTCATTGTTGGCGAGGTCTAATTCAGATGTCGAAGAGCTGCCAATCGTCGACGACCCCCATGAACAATGCCTGGATGTCACTAACAACAAAATCATTACTATTGCCAAGGAGATTGATGAGGATGAAGAAAAAACCGACGACATTGTAGCTGGGCGGATTAAATGGTACATAGACACTGCGAACTTCACCCGAAGCGTTGTCGGCGCCACTCTGAAGAATTTGAAGAAAACGACATCGTTTCTGAACAAATGTGGCGTCCGACTACTCAACGAGGATGGGGTTGAATTCTTCGTTTGTTTACTGGACCCCTACTTTCATCCCAAGAAACCTGTCGTAATCAAGTGCACCAAGACAACTTGCTCAAACGCGACTGCCTATCTTGATAAGAAGCACAAGATCACATCAAACAAGACATTGGCGGCCAAGAGGAAAGTAACACTACTTCAAAAGCAACTAAGCATGTCCGACCCTGCGTTCAAGAGAGATCCGACGCGTTGGTTTCACGTTCAGCTTGATGCTTGGTCCGCAGAGCAGTTATTGTCGTACAACACGTTCGATAACCAAAGGTGGCGATTGATTGCTTGTCAGTTGCCTGTAGGCCCGGGGAGCTTGAAATCAGTGAATATTCGCAAGAGTCACGTCGAGCACTACGTCACCTGCAAGAACATCATTGTGAAATCGATTGCTGAAGCTTGCAAGTCCTTCTCGATTCCCTTCATGGCTATCTTCCTCGACATCATCAAAAGCAAGACGAGCAACCAAAAGTACCTCGCGATGCGTATCTGCTTCAACTCACCAACATGCTTCAACGTTGGCTACAATCTTGCAGTCCGTTGTTTCGCACCGTCGACAAAGGAGCGCATTTCAGATCAGCTTTCGCACGTGCTAAAAGAATGGGCAAGTGTCGTCTTAGAGGAATTCGACATCAATCCGTCAAAATACTTTTTAGCCAGCACGTCTGATTCGGGATCCGACGTCAAGCGTACTCTATCCACGCTGCTAAGCATGTGGTGAGAATGCTGTCTATCTCACCTAGCACACTTGGCTCTCACGGATGCGTTTGGCACGTCGATTGATCCAGCAAAGAGCAAGAATGTCGACGTCAGGGCGTTTATCACAAGATCAAAAAGATCATTGAGGCCGTCAACAAGTCAGAATATCTGCAATCGGCACTGGAGGAGGCGTGTTTGCAGCTGTTTGAGCAGTATCTAAAGCTTCTCAACGCGCCACAACATCGATGGTCCTCTACGGCATTAGTACTTGAGCGCATGCTGATTTGCTGGGACGCCATTCTCCAAGCATACCGTGAAGTCAACCGACATGTTCCTCTATCAGATAATGACCGAACCGTTTGCATTGAGTTTTACTCCTTGATTCACCCAGTACGACAAATTCATTACAAGGTCCAAGCGATGCAGACCTTTGTGGCTGTCATGTAGTTACGAGTCGGCTCACGCAGTTTGGGCACTTACTATATTTAGACGTGGAAATAGGGTTCGGATCACGAGGGGTATAGAGTCGGGGACGGCTCGAAGAACGTTAGTTCTTCGAGTCGAGCCTGGAAGCGTTGGGAGCGTAGAGCGACTTTCCCCTTTGCGTCGACTTGGATTCTCCGAGTGTGAAGTGGGTTGGGCTTGACTCATGTTTGTGACGGTGACGGTTTGTTGCCAGTAGGGTAAACAAGCGACGAGAATTCCAGTGGGAAATCTCCCGTTTATTTCACTCGAAGAACTCCCGTTCAAGTTTGGTTGAAATTCAAATTGAGTTTGCACTTTTCCGCTTCGGTAAAGCGTGTGAGGGGTGATCCTGTCACTTGGAGTGACAGTCGACCGAAGAAAGGAATCGAGCAAGGCTCAGGCTCGGGTTTAGGGTTAGGGAATACAATAAATTGTCGGCTTTTTGGAGCTCTCGGAGCATATCTTACTTTGATCGGGGCTAAAGTGAACAAGCGTTGCAGTTCGTTACAACTTCAACACAACCTGTACGTAGTAAGACTCTAGGTGTGAGAACTTCAGAAAAACTTTCTACGTGAATTTTTTCTTAACCTCCTGCCCAACATCAATCACAGTACATACAGGAAGTATGGTATAAGATCCTGAAGTTACATATACATGTAAAGGAAGAAGGTGACTGCTAAAAAGGCCTGAACTCGGATATTCGAATGTAGATGTCCTAAGGATGTACATAGTGAGACAGCAATAGCAACAACCTTGGATACGGAAACTGCGAGGTCGAATGGGAAGCGAAAGGAAAGGCCGTGGGGTCGTCCAGCAGTAGTAAGTTTCAGATGCGAAATAATTTTGCATTGCAATATCGTCCGCGATCATTGGTTTAGACAGAATCTACAGGGAGACAGTAGTGACATGTGAGTGGCAGTAAAATCTCAAAAGAAGGACATGAGACCAGAGTTATAGAGAGTTTCTTATCATTGAACTCCGGAGTATACTTCTGAAAACTGAAGCTGCGTCTGATCGAGCGAATCAAATTGTACACCGAAAACTCTCACTCAGCATTGGACTTCACACTCTGATCCGGAGAAGTATATGCGATAATCGACACGTTTTATCTTTTGATACTGGTAGTCTGATAAACCCTAGCAGTTTGAAGATTGAAGCTCTACAATGTGACATTCCAGGCAGATGATAGAGCTAACTATACTCCATATGTAAACTATTAACGTCTGTCAGACGCTGATATGCGATAGCAGAATCTGAGTGGATTTTATTCAGATTGGTTATTTCGTCCAGAGGTGCTATTCGAAGTTGTAAAGGACTTGACATAAGTAAGGACAAAGTGAAGGACCTTTGGCAGCTGAACGGTGCAAGCGTGACGTCAAGTGAAGCAGGTTCATTATACTGAGTAAATTATGGAATGTACCTCTACGTAGTGTTAGAGCGCCCGAAATACGGAGTTGGCAGGAGAAAGAAAGCCAAGTCCAGAGTCGGAATCCAGCGCCGTGTGACTAGGGAAGGTTCCATGAAATAATTCTAGGTCAAGTACGAGGAAGTGATCTAAAACAAGTCTATACAACTTGCTTAAGTGCGCTGAGTGTCAAGCAATGAATCAGCGATGTTTATAGTGGAAGTGTCAGTTCAGGTTGGTTTCAAGTGAAACCATGTGATGCAAGTGTGAGTTTCTGCTTTAGTATTGATTCGGGCTGCTACACGTGGTAATAGGCTATGGGAGAAGTCCAGGTGAAAAAGTAAGAAGTTATATCGATTAGGCATTTTATAATGTCTTGAATTTATTACCTGCCACAACAAGCGAGCAAGGTAAATGTAGGGTTTTTGCAGTCTTCCGCTAAATGTTTGGACTGCAAACAAAAATCTACGTGGAAACTTTTGATGAGTGCTCTACCTAGTATTTAGAGAACTACTTTAGAGAAATTGTTTTGGGCTATGCACAGTGCTTGAAAACCTGTAGAGTCAAAGAAACTGCTTTAGCTGTCCATAGAAGGAGGTAAACTTTATACAGGTTTTACAGTCCATTTCAATTTTACTGTGGTGAATATACATCAATGATTACTTACAATAAAAAGTTTCCTGATGCTCATGTAAAACTTTGTGATAGTTTATAGTTAAACTATTTTAGTTCCCTTTTAGTTTAGTTTACAGATACTCTATAAACAATCCTTGTATATAGTGAAGTGTTGACGTGTGAAGGGAAAACGCTGCTTGGAGAAAAAGCGGACGACAGTGATATACAAGAAATCCAGAGAGTGGAGGTCGTCAGCAGCAAGGAACGTGATCAGGAGCAGGAGGTGACGGTGCAGCCTCAAGTAGAAGAGAATCCAGTAAACAGTGTTGTGGTAGAAGAAAAAAAGTCTGGGTTAGATTGGGACAAGGCACTAGCCGTAGAAAAACTTCTAGAGGAATCCGGCCTAGAGTACAGGATATGTGAGGATGAATTACTCGACCTTCCAAAGGATATTGCTGATCATTTGAGAGATGTTCAGTATGTTCAAGACTGTCTTTCAGAAGAAATTTTTGTACTAGAGAAATTTCTTGATAGTCTTCCAAAGGATCGATAGCAACTACCTGTAGCGTTTAGACAAGAGGGACTGAAGGGATCGGGAGTTTGCACCCGGTCTCACTGCCTGTAAACTTGATGTGTTGAAAGCATTGTAAATATATATATGACGTAGTCAATATATTGAGCTTTCAGTGTGTAGTGTGTTTGTTGAGGGGGAGTGTGAACCCTGTGTGAAGGAGAAAAAAAAAGAAAAAAAAAAGTAGAAGAAGTTTTCAAACACTTTTTGTTCGCAATTTGGTGAAGAGGGCATCATAGGCATTGGAGGCCCACGTAGATGGAGGGCAATGAAGATCGAATCGGGATCGCGAAGCAATGTGATGTCTCGTGTGTGTTGTCTTGTTTTGTGCTGTGTTTCCTTTAGATTGGAGAGTCGTTGCTAGCTATTTGCTTGTGTTTGGATCCTCTCCAGTCTTGCTTCCTGGTGCGCGCCCGTGTAAGGGTGACGCTGATTTTCGGAGTAGTTTAACTCCTGTGTGCTGGCGATAGGGGGCTGGACTTGATCAACGGCCGGCCTATCTACGTTTCTCTCACGGTGAGACTGAAGTGATGACCAGTAGACTGTGAGAGTCTTCTTGCTGTGATGACAAGTTAGGTTGCCCATACCCCTTAGCTAGTAGGGTTAGAGTAGCTCAGTGCGGCACGACGTCAGGGGCGGATTGGGTTATTGGGTGGAGATTTGGCAGTGGTGCAAGTTGAGGTCTCGTCATCACGGAGCAGTCTAGTGGTCCTGTTGAGGACCACGGTGGATTTACCCGGAGTGGGTTGAGGTATCGGCTACCTTCACCTATTTCGCCAGTTGTTGCGGAGCAAGACCAGAGTGTTGCAGACACAGAGTCTTTGGTGGTGATATCGTCTAGTGTTCCAACCCCATTGATTTGGGACATGGACGGGATGTACGGGGCCGTGAAGGGCCCTTGACGTTACTCTGGTGTAGTGGGCACCATCGAGCTCGATGATTTTATTCAGGAGTTCGACACGTGGTGTGATATGCAGTTTCTGCGTAACCCCACGTTGTTTACACCCTTCTTTGCGTGGAAGAGGTTATTTCAGCATTTTGAGGGGCCTCCCATGGACGATTATCATGAGTTTGGGAGAGATTATGCTGCGGAGATTGATGCATGGAGGCGCCATTGGTCTCCGAACTACTTATCCATTACCCAGGGTGGTGTGGGTACCAGTGGAGGTGCGAGTATCGGCATCAGTGGAGGTGCGAGTACTAGCATCAGCGAGGGTACTAGTGGAGCAGTTGGCGCAACTGGTACCAGTACCAGCAGCGGTACTGTTAGCATTGCTGGTGGCAGCACGAGGGGAGATGCTAGTGGCGTACCTTCGTTTAGCCCCATTCCTGAGTTCTTCCAGAGGTTGAGGAAGAATTATCAGGGGGTGAAGACAGAGAAGTTGAGGAGCCTCCATGAGTTTGAGCGGAAGACTGGTGAGAGTCTTCGTGAGGCATACACTCGTATGCGACGGCTAATCTCAATTACTCACGGTGTGACTGAGGCACAAGCTGTCCAGTATTGGTATCGGATTCTGGACAGAGAGTTGCGGAGGAGAGTGCGTGATGCTACTCTCATGAGCAACTCATCACCCACATTAGCCCACGTATTTGCTCTATCTGAGAAGATTGAGCTTAACATGGTGGAGGAGAGGGTGGTGACGTCTACATTTGCGAGGGACACGACCACTACTTCGCGTATCCCACATAGCCCAGCACAGTCTCGCCCCATAAGTGAGAGTTGTGGAGGTCATACACGACATCCTTCAGGTCACAGAGAGCCTACTACGCGACCACCACTGCCTTCATTTTCTGGCCAGCCACAGGGACCGTCATGTTGGACATGCGGGGGTGGTCATATGAGGAAAGATTGTCCCCAAGAGAGAGAGGGACAAACTTCACAGGCTAGGCCACAGCATGCACATGTGACTTGTGATCATTGTCATCGACCGGGTCACCCTCGAGAACGTTGTTTTGACCTTCATCCTGAGTTGAGATCTGGAGGTAGAGGTCGCGAAGGTGATGCTCCACGAGGCCGAGGTGGTCGAGGTGGCAGAGGCAGTAGAGGTGGTAGAGGTACCGGTGCCATTGAGCGTACTGCAGCGAGTGCTACTTCCGCCACAGAGAGCGCTATGGCTGCTCGGATTGAGCAGTTGGAGCAGAGGCTTGCTGCTATGGCTGGTCTGGGGGCGAGCACTTCTACATCTTACGAGGGAGAGGATTTCTCCTATTTGGCCAATGCAGCACAGCTTGAGGCATCAGTTGCAGTGACCAGAGGTGATGCTCGCACTTCAGAGCCACGTGGTGCGACTGTGGAGTTGGACCCTCAGAGGGATGAGGGTGGACGTTAGTCTAGACTTCCCCAGTCCTTTTTGTTGTCAGAGGTGGGTAGCAATTCATCTATGAGAACTG